CACGATTGGACGGTGACCTTAGAAGCACAAAGCTGTGTGCCCAGCACTCAGGCTTCTCAAAGACAATCACTTCAAAGGGCAGTCACCGTGAGAAACAATAAACAACTGGGGAGAGATCTCCCATGCTCCCATGTGCTTGTTCAGTCTTCAGAATGAGCACCAGGCGGAGTCCAGAATGGCTACTCCACGGGCCCCTCCTTCGGCCAGATGGATGAGGCCCTCTCCCACCTTAACCCGTTTCCACTTTCCCCACTGCTCTCGCATTTGTCACTCTCCAGGCCACCATCCAAGTCACATGCTCACCTAACCCATCTAGCTATTCACTAGTTCTGCAGGTCAAATCCTGTGACAGCACAAATTCCGCTGGAAATCAGAATTCTTTTACTGAGTATCAGTTCCTGGAGCTGGAACACCACCAGGGCAGAGAGCAGGTGAGGAGGGGCACCCAGGGATGAAAACAGCCTCTCTGTGGCCAGCCAGAGCTCCAAACCACCAACCCTCCCAGCCTGGCTTTCAGAGGGCCCAGGGACACCTAAGTGTCTAACAATTTCCCTGGTAACATCTGAGGTAAACCAGATAAGAACTCATTATCTGATAAGCCAAGGAGGGTTTCTAATCCTCTCTTGGGAGGCTGAAATCCTAAACCAATGCTTCTTAGACTTAAAAAAGCATGCGGGCAAACCACCAGGGTATGAACTCAAGGGCAGATTTGTTGGCCACACCCCAGTAGAATATGCCTGGAAAGGAGACACAGGAATCCACACTTTCCACCAGTATCCCAGGTGACTAGGTCCCGGGTGGTCCAGGAAGCCTTCCCCAGGATTCTCCCATGCAAATGCTCCTGGCGGAAGAGGCTGCTGCAGTGATTGCTTGGAAGTCTGCGCATGAGTAAGACATCCTGTATACAGCAGGAGCATAATGGTGGGAGCCCTGAGTGTAATGGTCAGCCACACGATGTTACAGCACGCAGTGCTTCTTTAATAAAATACCATTATGTGGATGAAGCACAGAGGCAGGCTCAGGACAGGGTGCGATCACGTCCGAGGGTGCCCAGAGCCGAGAGCCCCCACCCACTGTCATGTGAGAGGTGGACGGGTGGCAGGTCACATCTGCTCGGCACCAGCACCACACTAGGCTTGGGGCTGCTGGTCATCCTGGTCACCACGGGACCGAGACCTGTTTGACAGCTTTTATTGGAAAAATTTCTTAGAAAATTTTATAAGAAATCTCTGGGGCTAAATGACTGCTCCAGAAGGGTCTCTGGACCAAGCCAGGCCGTCCGAGTGACATCCAACAAAAACACTGCTGCTCAGGGCTTTCCTGCTTGCAGAGCCCCCGTCTCGGTGTGGCCGCCTACTGGGACACGTACCCAGGCACTCACCCCGCTGGCTCCAGAGGCTGCAAGTCCCCGTAAACGCTGAGCGAGGGTTCCCCGGTGATGACAATCAGCTCCTGGCATCTCAGAGGAGGGAAATACCAGGGCACTCTGACTACCAAACACGGAGAGGGGTGTCATAGCCACGGCACACGTGTGTGCCTCCCCACTCTGCCCCAGTGCTCTGGATCACCTGTGTGCCTCTGCTGGGCAGCTGGGTCAGCCATGGGAATCTTACTCTGTACCCTGATCTCTGAACCTGTCTCCAGGGGACACCTGCCTGCCCGTGTTGAGTAAAGATAAGCACTGTGTGCGTGTGTGTGCATGTGGCACGCAGGAGGCCCGGCGTGTCTTAACCGCGTGTGTGAGTGCAAATGCACCAATGTGGGCGAGTGCAAAGCTGAGCCCTTGGGGGCTGCTGTAGCCCCCCTGGCTCTAGTCAGAATCCCTCTATTTGCACACCATCCCCACTTACAGTCAGCATTTCCTGGGAAGATGATTTAGTCCCATTCCTGTTGTTTGTCTATTTCTATTTGGGGAAAGCGGCCCCACCGGTTACTCCTCCCTTTCCTCCTCTCCCACCACCCACGACCTGTCCTTTCTCTCCACTGCCTGCCGGGGCCTGGCCGCTTCCTCCTGGCTCTGACTGCGCAGGGAGGGTGGCACAGAGCAGGCTCCAAAAAAGCCCTAAAGCAGAGATACTGATTCTTCCACTGCACAGGAGCTCTCTTTTTATGGATTTTAGTAAAATTAGTTAATTTTCACTTCATTTCCCTTTTCAAAAAGTGGTATTTCCCTTCCAAAGAAATAATACATTGGGCCCCAAACCTGCTGAGGGTACCTACTAACCTAAGAACTCAAGGAAAATACCTCTGTGTCTCTGTAAAACGGGGCTACTGTCTCCCACCATTCCAGGACTGCTGTGGGGAAAGGCAATGAGTGTGAGGGCCCTCACAGACACTCCCAAAGTGGCCATCGCCATAGCGGCAGCTGCAATATGTGAAATCAGGGCACTCACACTCTAGACCCAAAGGTGAGATGAGGTCGGCATGAGTCTGCACCATTTTCCCAGCAAGTTAACTGGACACCCTCTGGAGAATGCAGGGATCACAAAACCAGGCCACTGACCTCTTTGTTAGAAAAGAGTCACTTGTCATTGGCTTGAAACCCGGCCAGACCTCCAAGATGACCAGGGTATCATCAGGCATATCAAGCTGGGCGCATTTCCCTATTCCTCTCTGAGTTAAAGTTCTACTAAAATGACCAAAAAGCAAGGTTCCTCTCCCCGCTTTCCTTCTCTTCCATACAAGCTCCCAACAAATCCCCAGGCAGAGGGGCCTTCACAGGGACGCTCCTGGGAGCCAGTGCCAGTGGCTGGGTGCAGGCCCGGCTCTCAGGCCTGTGGAGGGTGCTGTTACTGCCGACTTTCTTTACACTGGGGAAAGTACTGCTCAGCACATACTGTCTAGGGATGACAACCTTCACCCCCACAGTTGCTACAGCCTCTCTACTTTCAGGTGGAGAATTCACCGGCCAAGATCCCACGGAGCACACCCACCTACCCATCTCCAGGGTTCATCCGCTGACTCAGAGCTTTCCTCAGAGGAGGCGTTCAGTAACATTCCTTGATTAACTGATTAAAAGTCTTAGCTTGTATTAACAGTCGCCAAGTACTTTCCACATGGGTCCAAGAATGCACTAAGAGTTCTGCATGTTGTTTTAATTGAAAGTTATAGTCTCTTAAAGTTCCCACAGGGCACTGGAGCATCGATGTCTGAGGGCCCAAGCGGCCTTAGGAAACAACAGAGTGTACCAATGGGCCCTGAAGCATGGATGTGGGGACAGCAGTCTAGACACAGGAGGGCGAGGGACAGCTCCTACCAGAATGCTACAGCCATCCTCTGCTATTCCTCCCCAAGCGCCAAGAGAACCCCAAAGCCATGCTCCCGTCCTGAGCTGCATATAAGGGATGCCTGGTACACTGACAAGGGAGTAGTTTTTTCCAGCTAATCCCAAGGATTTGGTATTTTAAAATAACTATTGTCTGCTATTTCATAATCAAATCTGATAAGTTTACTCACAGGTGGAAATCTGTGATTAAATTCTTATTGCAGGAGGTTTCTGACTTTCTCGGGATCTGGGCTCTGCCCTTAACTCCTTCTGCTTCCCACACTGGGCTACAGAACAAGCTCGTTTTCATCTCTTCTCCCAAATCCTTATGATTATTAGAGCAATACATAATGATGTAGAAAATGATGAACGTTAAAAAGAAAACGCCATCCACAATCCTATCATCAGAGACAGGCTTGGTCAGTATGCTAACAGTCACTCTATCATTGTATACAGAACTTCTACAATGTACAAAATTTTGAATACTGTTTTCATAACATGGTCTCATGAACATTTTCTCATGTCATGAAATAATCTTTGAAAACCTTTCCTTTTTTTAAATTACAAAATGCATACTCGTAAAAAAATTGAATGTATACACAAAGATATAACACACACACACTGCTGTCAGTCACCAGGTCTGGCTGAGCCCCCGCCCCGTGGATGACCACGCCCGCCTGGGAGAACACTCTCCCAGACCTCCCTGTGTGGACATCCACCTGGGCTTGTGGATCAATAAGTAAATCAGATATGCATATGGCATTACTGTTTGATAAAACAAAATCCCACTCTGCATTCAGCTGCATGTGGGAGGAATGGCTCGGTCAAGGAAATGCCTTTTTAAAATCACTATGCCCAAGCCAGCGCAGAGCTGTGATCACAGGTGGACATTTGGGCTGGGGCCAGTTGGTACCTTGGAACATGAAGCTGAAATGCTAAGACCTGTATTGCTATTAATACAGCACTGGTTAGTGACCTACCCATGGTGTGATACACGCTTTACACGTACTAACTTACTTATCCTCTAATAGCCCTGTAAGGAGGGGACTGCTATATCCATTTCACAGATGAGGAGGCCAGGTGAGTGGCAGCATTACAACTTAACACCTGCATTCCTAACCAGCGCAGGACCCCATATTTATTCATTTACTTCTTCCCTGACTCACTCCTCTACTCTGCAGACATTCAGAGGGCAGCACACAGCAGGCTCAGTACCCGTGCAGACCTGTATTTTGCAGAGGAGGAGAATTTGCCGCCATCACTCAGGAAAGCATTTTCAAAACCTGGGCTTGCTCACGTAAAGGGCAGGCAAAGAGAAATGAGGCGCCAGGCCACACCCACCAGCTCAGTGTAGAAGCCTCAAGGCAAAAGCATAATGGACAGTAAGTCAACAGCTTTAGGTGAAAAGCAACCACAAATGAACACTCTTGAAAAACTTTTATTTACATTCTGGGTAAAACTCTGAAAAAATTAACATCTATGAAAAGTACTGAGAATGAAAAACATTTCCACTGCAGGGAGAAACTTTAATTTAAAATCAGTTGTGAGAAATTAAGGTCATCAATTCTAAGGGTGGCTATACAATATAAATTGGAGGTGTAGTTATTACCAAGCATGGGAACACTCTGAAAGCTCAGCTTCTCTCACACCAATGGGCTGAAGCTCCAGCACTTGAACTGCTGTTTGAACAGAGGCCAGAAAGTCCCATCGACCCTTGCAGGTTTCCTCAAAAGGACAAGTAGAATAATAAATAGCTTACATACCCTTGTCTGTGAGATTTTTTCGAATGACTTGAATAGTAAGAATACCCAGAATATGTGGATTCGGTATCCATAGCAATGGAGAGCTCAGCTTGATGGAGGAGCAGGTACTGTTTCTCCTTAGAGGTAGAGATGTTCACCTACTGGACTCCTAAAAGCTCAAGGAGTCTGCGAATCACAGGAGGCACACTTCAATAGCAACCAATTCTGGGGAAAAGGGAGAAAAAAAAGATGTCAACCTTCAAAGCCAACCTTAATGGGGCCGAAAGATAAAAAGACAACAGCCACAGGCACCTCTCTGGAGTCTCTATGGACCCAGTGAGCCAGGAGAAGCTCTAAATGCTCCACTCATGGGCCAATGAGCTTTCTCAGGTTCTGGGAGGGAGACAGGGTAGGTGCCAAGCATGCTGAACCCCCATCACGGCAGCAGGAGAGCCGGAGGTGGGAGAGACCCGGGCGCTGGTCCATTTCCTGAGCTCACTCACCAGCTTTAGCTTGTGGGAAGTGACTCCCCCATCTACAGCCCCCACTGCCAGGTCACTGGTTATAAAAACAATTCCCACAGAAATCACTTTTAAGGGGACTCGGTCTTATTCCCAAAAGTCAATTTTTAAAAATTCTCCATCTCCTGAGAACTTATCTTAGGAAACTATTTTCTTTTTGAAAGAGAAGTTATTATGACTTCATTGTCTACAATAGTAAAAAACTAGAAACAATCTAAATGCCTCAAAAAACAGAGGAACATTTAAGGAAAACGTGGTTCATTCACCCAAAGAAATATCACATAACTGTTTAAAACAATAATTATGAATAATTATAAATTTTAAAAGCAGGACACAGAATTGTAGGTACACAGTGAATCTACATTTCAGTTACCACTGTATAAAATCCCTTACGTAAGGACTCAGATTAGAGGGGGCCGCAGAAAATGAAAGCAGGTGATTTATTAGTTGCAGGCTCCTGGGTCTTTTCCCACATTTTCATTAGATACTGCTTTGCAATAAAAATAAATTGGAAACATTTCCATGTACATTCCTGAGCTCCCACTCGCTGAATCTTTACTTTTAGAAAACTGAGATCTACAAGTTCCCAAGTTCTGTCTCTCCTTACATCCCTTACCCCAGAGAGAGTCTCAGTCCAACAAGAGTTCCTTCTCTGGGGCCCCTGGAAGCAGAAACTGCAAACACAGCCAGTGAGATAAGTGTGAAGAAAAAACAAAGGAGCTGCTAAGGCCATACCTCTACCCCTCCTGGGAGGAGCCAACTCTCCCTGACCCCAGCTACACGTCTGCAGGGAATCGGCCTCAGCGACCCACCAACACAGCCCCCAGAACCTCACATACGCACTAGCTAGGATGCGTTTGCCCTCAGCCTTCTCTCTGTCTGGAAGGGAGGCGCATTCACTCCCAAGGTCTGCCCGCCCTGCCAGCCTCCCTTGTCTGGACATCCAGACTCATCATTTCACATCTCCTCTGCCACCAAGAGCCCAAAGTTAGCCATGGGGAAGCCTGAGTTCAGCCACTATTAAGTACAACCTGGACCAAGCCCCCCTGCCTTAAGCCTCATCTTCTATATCAAAGGGAAATAATCAACCAACCCGGCCACCAGGTCACAGGGGTGACCTGAAAATATAAGCAGACACAGTACCTGAAGCTGGGTTCCAATCTCGGGCTTGACTTGCTTAGAGTAGCTATGGGACCTCAGTCAAATTAAACCTATTTAAACATGAATCTATGAAATACAAATATCAGGGTTGCTGTGAAGACTAAACGAGCTCACAACCGTGAGAGCAGGCCCCATAAGCTCCAGATATTCTAGCTAAATGAAAGTTGGTGGAGTCAGGATTCCTTCTGTCATTTATGAAAATCCCGCCTTCTCCTGTCTTTCTCAGTAAGAGAAAAGTTAGAGAGAAACAGAGCAGACAGCCTGTGCCTGTGCCGGCCTTCCCACCACGAGACTCACCTGTGGGCCACTTGCCATCAAGACAGAACTGGGCTCTAACTAGCTGGGTACTTGGCAAGGCAGTTTCTCCTTGAAGCGCACTCTTTATCTGCCTGCTCTGTCTGTTATCATTTTCAGCCGCAATCTCCAGGAGCGTCTAGCTCCTTAGTCTCACTTCCTTTCCGCTCTGAGCTCTGCTGCTCTCTCACCTGCTTTGTACCCCGTAGACACCAACATCAGGAGGTGCAGCCAAGATGGCCAGCCCGTCCTGAACTCACGCTCTTTCCCTGAAAGCCCCAGGTCCAGCCCCTTTCCATTAGAAACTGTTTTGCAGATTCTAATGCTTGGCTCTGTGGCCCAGAAAACGGACTGACTTCTGCTAGGTTCATTAGCTGTGCACAGGTCCTACACGGCTTTTGTGTCCCACCCATAACTCTGATTCCCTGTTCCACCCCCATTTCTAGCTACTTTTCGTTAAACGCTGCTGGGGTATCAGAGGAAGATGACACAAGCCTTGCAAAACCTGGCCTGATGCTGGCCTGGTACTTCCTAGCTGTGACTCTGGTAGTCAGATGTGAGCCTCTCCCAGCTTCTCATATTCCCCACCCCTATAAAAAGAGGTCCTTCAATAATATCTCTTCCTGGGGTTGTCGTGAGAATTAAAGGAGGTAAAGTCTCTGGCTCATGATAACCAAGTTTCATTTCCTTCCACCTCTGCCAGAGGACGTCATTCTTTATCCCCATTAAAACCTCCAGCTACCCATTAAGGCAACTCCAGGCATGTCCCTCAAAGGAAACCATGGGCTCCGCAGAGCCCTCTGGGGAAAGGCTTTACCTGACTCCACCAACCACCCTTGTCCAGTTTCCCTCCCACCATTCCTGCCTGTACTTACCAAAGGGCTGGTATGTCTATGCTGTCACCCCCCCCCTTGGCTGTCATCCCAAATCCCCATCCTCTACATTCCCCTGAAACAATTCTAACTTAGCCAGAGATTGCTGTGAGCCAAATCCAAAGGTCACATCCTTCCCCTCCTCCTCCAGCCCTTCTTATCCCTCCACCCCCATGGTTAATAAGCAACTGAGAAGCCCCTGCTAGGCAGTGCCAGGGCAGGACAGTGACGAAGGCACACTCTGCCTGTCCCCACAGAGCTTCTCTTCGCAGAGGGCTGGCCTCCAATTTGACGGCACTTATGCCACCATTCCCTCTACACTCCCTCCCCTCTCCCCTATGAAGTTACCTTGACACTCAAAACTCATCCCATGTACCTCTCTACTCCGAACATAACGGGCACCCAGCAAATACTCACCGAAAGAATAAATCCCCAGCGCACATTTCCTGCTCCGATACCCCTTGTTCCCCTTGGAATTACCAGCAGCACCCATAGCTGCTCTCCTGCGTCCTCGCCTATTCTTTCCAAATTCTTCTGCCAAGGTGATACCATCACCCTATAAATTGTATGGCCTCAACCCCGTGCCATCTTCAATGCTCTCTCCCCTTCAGCCCACACATACATCCATGGTCACTAAGTTCCACCTGTCCCCAAGGATCCCCACTCTCATCCTCCCGCTTCCCGGCCACCCAATTCCTTTAGGCTCAGTCGACAACGGGCTTACCTACTACAAAGCCTCTAGTAGATGAAGCCTCTATTTAATCAAACCTACACAAGGCTAAGGCTCCATATTCTAAGTCAGACTGTTTCTACCACAGCTGTCAACTTTTGACCCATCCAAGATCTGACGGAGAATTAAGGAAAAGCAACAGGAGACAAACGAATTAAATCAAGTGAACTTGCATTTTAAAAGAGTTTGAGCCCAGGTAAGAGCTTCACTAGATGTCACAGAAGAGCATATCCTGAAGCTTATCACTGCAATGATATTTCTAGGAGATAGTTCCCTTGCATACACAAAAAAATTAACGGAACTCCTGATAAGGTCAGAAGGAATCCCTTATCAGAAAAGGTAACAGACTGACAGGCTGCACGCTGGCCTGCATGGAGGATGGAGTCACATAAGGGTGTGACGTGGATCCTAGAATCTGGAACTCTCCCTCATAGTGGCCCCCAATATGACCCACATTGTATTTGGCCCAGAGGAGGCAGCAGTCAGACTGCCCTTTTAAATTACAATGCAGATTTCACTTCCCTGCTTAAAAACCCTTCCATGCTATTCCCCTGCACTTAAATAAAACATAAAATCTTTCATTTGGCATGCAATGCCCTGCCCACTGCTCTCCAGCTCCCCTTTCCTCCTCTAGTTCCAGGTACTCGAAGGCAGAGCCCAGCAGATCTGTTGGTATTCTCTTTCTCTCTTTTTAAAGAGACTGGATCTCACTGTCTCCCCCAGGCTGGACTGCAGTGGTGGGATCATAGCTTACTGCAGCCTCAAACTCCCAGGCACAAGCAATATTCCCCACCTCAGTAGCATGGACTACAGGCACATGTCACCACAGGTGGCTTGGTACCCATGCTTTACATGCCCCATTTTGCCAAATTTCTACTCATCCCTCTCAATTTAAATAATGCTTCTTTCAAGAGGCCTTTCCCGATCCTCGGATCCCAATCAGGCCCTCCCTGCACCCTGTACTCTTCTTTTGTATCACAACTTCCAAGTACACATTTTTTTTTTGAGACAGAGCCTTGTCAAGCTGTGCCCCTGGGTAGAGTGCCGTGGCATCACAGCTCACAGCAACCTCCAACTCCTGGGCTCAAGCGAGTCTCCTGCCTCCGCCTCCCAAGTAGCTGGGACCACAGGTGCCCGCCACAACGCCCAGCTATTTTTTGGCTGCAGCCATCATTGTTGTTTGGAGGGCCCAGGCTGGATTGGAACCCACCATCCTAGGTGTATGTGGCTGGTGCCTTAGCCACTTGAGCCACAGGCGCCGAGCCACCAAGTACACATTTATTTGTGTGATTACTTTTGGTCCTGGCTCCTGTAAGCTCCATGAAGGCAAAAAGCACCTTCATTACTGTCTCCTCAGCTCCTAGAACAGCGGTTCTCAACCTGTGGGTCGCGACCCACAGGAACTATATTAAAAGGCTGCGGCATTAGGAAGGTTGAGAACCACTGTCCTAGAACATAGTGGGCACCCAATAAATGTCTGCTGAAGGAAGGGTTCTGCAGCAGTTCTCAGGACGTGGAGCCCATACAGTCACCGTGGAGGAAACCTTAGAGATTATTTAAATCCTCAGTTTGACAGGCCAAAAAAAGATGCAACGTTTTAGGCAGAGCAGTGATGTGAGAACCATCAAGATTGGAGATGGACACTGACTCACAGGACAGACCCACTCAGGGGCAGAATTTATATTCCAGACACACCAAGTAAAAACTGCTGGCAGCCTCTTTCAGAG